TGGAGAGAAAACATTCTCTCAGGCTTTCACAGAGAGCACATTGGCCAAGCAATGGCCATGACTCATCCACATGGCTGACAAAGGTTCTACAATCTGAGGTACAGGATCTTAGGATAAATCCTGAGGGGATTTCACTGACCTTCTCAGACCCAAAAGCTACAACTCTTGTTGCATAGGTCCTGCTTTACCTTGGTCTTAACCATTTAGAAGGAAAGTATAAAAACGAAATATAAGAAATAAAGCCATGCTGTTATGTTGAGCTGTGGGGGACTCAGGTCAGTCAACAATTTCTGACATTGCCAGTTAAGCAGAAGTCCCAACAGTATTATGGGATACTAGACTCTTTTAGAATATTTTGCTGAGTTTACACACCTATAATATTCAAATAACGGAACTTAAGAAAAAAAAGGTATACAGATGAATTCCATTTTGTATCTGTGCATTCAGGGTGGTTAGGATAGATACATAGTTACATTCTGTTAATGAATAGAATGATTTGTTCTAATGGTGCTTGTAAATAGGATGTCAAGTCCGCATCTTGTACAGCAATTAACCACTAAGAAGAAAGTATGCAGTGTGTTAATTATTGAAACTGTCCTACCGATGTGATTTGAAACTGTCTCTTTGCTATTTATCAATAAAATTATGGGCAAAAAAAAAAAAAAATAAAAGCAAAGCTAAAAAAAAAAAAACTCCACATCACTGACCATTTAAAAATGCAAATTAAAATGAACATGAGGTATCATTATATAGCTACAACAATTTCTAAAAAACAATTTAATTATAACAAATCTGTTAAATGCAGAGAATAGAGGTCTCCCTTGCACTGCTGTTGGGAATGTAAAAAAGAAATAATGTTACATTCACACAAAAACCTGTACATGAATTCACAGAAGCTTCATTTGTAACTGTCAAAAACTAGACAGCAGCCATGGTAGTACACGCTTTTACAACAGCTACTTGGAAGGCTGAACAGGAGGGTTGCCAGTTCAAGGTTTGGTTGGCCAACTTTGCAAGAGCCTGTCTCAACATAAAACATAAAAACAAAGTGGGGAAGGAACTGAGGATATAGACATGTGGTGGTATGGGACTTGCAGCTGCCAATTCCCAAATTCAGTCTCCAGCAAAATACACACACACACACACACACACACACGCACACACACACGCACACACGCACACACACACACACACACACACACACACACTTGTTAACAACCCAAATGTTTTTCAACAGGTGAATGGTTAAACAAACCATGCTACTTCTAAACATGGAAAAAACTAATTTGGATGGATTTAAAGAGAGTTATGGTGAGTGAAAAAGTTAATGTCAAAAAGTTACATACAATATTGTGTCATTTCTATAACTTTCTTGAAATGAGAAAATTAGAGATGGAGAACAGTTTAGTCCTGGCTTGAATAGGAAGAATATAGAAATCACTGTCAAATTTCTACTATTTTGTTTAGTGAAACAAAATAGTACCATTTCTAATTTTTTTTTTCTTTTACCATTGTGTATTCTCTTTAAAAATGAAAAAAATAGAATGATAAAAAGAAAGGACATAGGAAGTAAAGTAGTCATATCCTCAAAAAAAGTCTGATACTTGTAACAGAACAGTTTCATATCTTGACTACAGCGACAACACACAAATCCACACAGGGTCAAGTCCACATATGATAAAACTGGATAGAACTAAGTACATATACAATTAGTATATGTAAAGTTGGTGAAATCTGTAAGGTACTATGAATTCTATAAATGTTAATTTCCTTGTTGCAATTGTTTTTCCATAGTTAAAATGCTATCATTGGCGGAAACTGGATAAAGGATACATGGTTCTGTCTGATCTCACAGTAAATTACTTTTTTAGTGAGTACCATATGGTTTCTTAATTTTGTTTCTGTGAATCCTGAGTTATAATAAAATAAATGTCCATAAGTCTGATATTGATGAAAACAGATACAGAAATAAATAAGTCAAAAAAAAGAGCTCATCTTTAACCAAGAATTCCAATTAACAAATGTAAAACAACATGAGAACTATAAAGTGACCATCAAATATCACTTTAATAGTTGCTCCAGCTAGGTTTCTCAGATAAATGCTTATCATAGTAATAGTTTCAGAGCAGTGTATTTGAATAGTTCCAATGGATTTTCCCAGAAAAACTGATTCTGATTTGGATAAGTACATCCAAAGGCTGATGTACTAAATTAAAGACGTGGCCCCAGGCCACTATGCAATTGTTGAAGCTTTTACAAGACAGGACCAAGCAGCAGAAAGTGAGGTAATAGTAGGTGACTACTTGAGGGGGAGGATTTTTCTAGAGAATCATAAAATGTCTTTTCTTTATATCAATAACATATTGACATCAGAACATATTAGCAACTTTTGTTTTCAAAGAGTTGTCTCCCTTATATTATAATGGATTTCATATAAGATTTCATCTTACCTGGCCAGTTCTTTAATTAAGTTTGCAATGCGTCTTTTGTCTTCAAGACATAAATCTTTCAATGATGCACTCTTCATTCCCTCCTTGCAGAAATTCTAAAATAACAACAAAAACTCTTCTGGTTAATTTTTTCTAAAAATAATGTTTAAATTTTCTTTTTTTTTCTTTTAAATGTATTTAGGACAGGGTCTCACTACACAGATCAGACTCATAGTGATCCTCCTATTGTCAGCCTCCCAAACTTTGGGATTACAGGTCCATGCCACCACACCCAGTCTCGCAACCCGGGGGCGGGGCCAGCACTGCAGGCCAAAGATTGGAACTCCACACACCCCACCCTTCCTCACCCCACCCCATCACCCCGCCCCCAGTCTGCCTGAGCAGGGACTTTAATCCACTGAGCTATTTGGTCAGCCCTAAATTTTCTTGAGAAACCTATCAAAGTAAACATGGAAAGTAAAATGTTTTAGATATTTTATCTGGTAGAATATGACTTGTTACACTTAAGCCTATTATAAACTCAAAACTGGCTAAGGAACTGATTGTGAGCCAGAAAATATGGAATTTACAAAGAAAAGCATTCAGAAAAAGAAAACTAAATAAATAAATAGACTGATAGATAGATAGAAAGAAAAGTATATATTTAAAAAAAAAAAAAAAAAAAAAAAAGGTGTGGGGGGCAGCCAGATAGCTCAGCAGATCAAAGCACCTGCCTAGGCAGATGCAGGGGCCAGGAGTTTGATCCCCAGCCTGAGGTGCCGGCCCTGCCACCAGGGCAAGCTGAGATGGTAAATGAAACTGGGCATGGTGGCCCAGGCCTGTAATTCCAGTGCTTGGAAGGCTGAAAAACAAGAAGGATCACTAACAGTCCCATCTGTGTAGTGAGACCCTGTACTAAATACATAAAAACAAACAAACAAACTTAGAAGCAGAAACTGTTACTGATAAAATACTAGAAAATATTAAAAAAAAATACTTGTGGAATGTCAAAGGAATAAATCTCTAATGAGTTTTTCTTAAACTTCAGCCCTTATCCTATTTAGGGGTACACTAGAGTTGGCAGAAGAAGCATCAGTTACTAAGCTGTCATAATATCCTAAAGTTAATTCCAAAGAGTATTAGATTAATGAATAATAATTAAATAGTTAACATTTATACTTCTTACTACATGCCAAGAATAATCTTTCTACTTTGTTTTTATTAGTGTTTCATTTCCACTGCAATGCTATTAGGTAAGTATTACTCCTACATTGATAATCTTGCCCACAGATACAGCAGCTTAACTGAAAAATCAAGACTCAGAGGTGCCATAGTCTGTGCTCTTACATACTAAACTTTCCTACTTTACCAGGATTAAAGCCACAAAACTAAAGAAGTCACTTGTGAGCCATAGATGACATGTAAAAGGAAGCAACAAGGACTCTTAACATTTGTCCAGCGAGCAAAGTAAGTCACTCCAATTATTTTGGGTAGCCAAGAAAAACCCACAACCCCTGAAATAAATCCTGGAAATAGTAAAAGCCAGACAGGTAGCACTTCCACGTAAAAGTTAGAGGTAGGTCTGTCTTCCAAGGCAACACTAGAGTTTTTTTGTATATCAGCTAGACATGTAAGAAAATCTGTATTTGATTTCAATTTTTATTTTGTCATAAATTAACATTTAAAAAGTCAGGAGGAGAATAAGAAGCATATAATGTTGCAGAAGAAGAAGAAATTTGAAAAGAGTATGATTATCAATAGTGTTAATGATCAAAATAAACTAGAGAAAGGAGGCACTGGATTTAGCAAGAAAAGAAACTGCTAATAACTCACAAAGACATTTCAGTAGTAGTGCACTGAGTGAAAGATCAAACACAGGTTAGCACCCATTGTGTTTAACATCAGAAAGCTTAACACAAATGTCTGCCATCTAAAGATAGCAAAACTGGGGCCGGGAGAGGGCTCAGTGGAATAAGCGCTTCCCTGGCAAGCGCAATGGCCTGAGTTCAATCCCTGGTTCTGAAAAAAAAAAAAGAAAAAGAAAAAGAAAAACTGTAGCATACTTACACGACAAAATTGTATAGTACTGGTGTTATAGGGGCTTGCTGGTTATTTCAGTTGTTTAAGCACCTACTCTGGAAAATCCAGTCAGGTACAGGGGACCCCAAACCTCCACCTCCACCTGCCTTAACCAGACCCACCCTTAAGGCAGTCTACCCAGCCAAAAAAAAAAAAAAAAAAATCCTTCTCAACTTTAAAAAAAAAAAAAAAAAAAAAAAAAGGACTGATGTTATACTACTGACTTTCCTCTGTAGTTCAACACATACATCTATGCTTTGATTTGTAATGCTGAAACTAGTAAGAATATGGAAATCTCTTTTTCTCCTTTGCTACTTGGCTCTCTGAAAACCTTTACCGGCAGAACTAGATTAAAACCAGAGGTTGTTAGAGGGGAAAAGAACATATCCTTTCCTTTTACTGTCAACATTATACCTGCCTGAATTATACAGCCTGACGAGAACATATAGTTCCAACTTGCAATTTTTTTCTAGCCCTTGTGGAACTACACCTACAAGCCAAATCTGGCCCACTGCCTATTTTTGTAACTAAGGTAATTTAAACATGACCAAGCTCATTCGTTTACATATTTCAAATGGATATTTTCATGCTAAAAGGATAAAGTTGAATGGTTGAGATACATCTTGTGATCTGCAAAGGATCTTTACTATCAGAGGCTTTTTTAACAGAAAATCTTGCATATATCTGCTATAAAAAAAAAGATAAACATAAAATTCAAGACAGGAATTACCAAATAAGATATAAAGGAAATCCACAACTTATCATCACTTGATTTACAACAACGGCATTACTGCAGTTCATTAAAGAAAAAAAAAAAAAAAAGGATCTTCTCAAGGAATGGCACTGGGCAAACAGATGATCGGTATGGAAATTTGAACAGTGATCCTTATTTATCACCATATGCACACATTAATTCCTGGTGAATAGTAGGCTTAGCTGTGAAAAGTAAAGCAATGAGGTTGCTAAAAGAGTAAACCTGCTACAAAGAGCACACCTGGCTAACTGTTCCCACTTACCTTACCTTTAGGATCTACAGCAGTGTTCGTGCCACTAGCAATGACTGGAAACAGAAAAGTCACCAGAATTGGGCCATTTCTGCTTCAAATAGGATCCTCCAAAGGTAATGTTTGCTCTGAGGTTCCTAATGAGCATAACAGCACTATCTCACACTCCATCTCAAGTGTGAGGATCTTTCTATTCAAGCTTCCTTCTATTCCTCTCTCACAAGTGTCCCACCTGAACATCTGAAGTCTCTCTGACTGTTCCTCCTCATTTACCCTTGTAGACATGTCCATCCTTCTGGTTTGCCTGGGTTACTGACTCAAGAGGAATTGTCTTGGAACCCAAATAAAATATACAAAATAGCTAACACATATAAGAATCAAAACTTCCTGTATCATTCTCTATTTATTATAACAGTTCCAAAATGAAAAAAAGTAACCTACAGACCTACATGTTGAACATGCCTGCAGACTTTTCCTTCCTTAAATCTATTCTATTTCTAATATCTTGAGGTTTATGTACCAGAAACAGGAATGGACCTGTTAAAGTCACGATTATGAAAACACTACTAAATCAAGGATACCGTATGTCAATTACTACAAAGATCATTCACAGAAAAAACAGATACATTAAACAAGAAAATACAAACTGCATTATATCCTTCCATTAAAAACAAAACAAATGAACAAAAAAGACACTACTATTTTAGGTGAAAAAAAATATGTACACACCCTCCCATTTAGGACATTCTTTCCTAGTTAAATGAGGAACAAGGACTTACTTTCAAACCTGACAAAGTATATGACACAAAATATAGGATGCTATTTTTTCTTTGGCTAGTAGGCTGTACAGGATGATTAGTGAAAGTGGGGAACCAAATAATGTGAGCACTAAAATTTTCCTAGCTAATTATCTTTGGCAACAGGGTAGAAAAATTCAGATAGAAACCAGAAATCTTTTTGAGTACAGGTAGAAAAGTCAAAGTTTCTAAAATTTAGATTCAGCAAAGCCAGGCCCTGCCAGTGTGCGGGAGTTTCAGGCATCCCTGTGCCCGCCAGACATCTCCAGAACAAACCCCAGGCACACCACATGACTGAAACCCTCTACCATGCCCTCTGGTCCCCTCCACCTCTCCAGAGTCCCCGCCCCCAAGCCTGCTAAGTGAATGAAAACTTGTGTGACACTCTCAGGACCCCAGGACCAGCCCAAGCCCAGGCACAGCTACTGTATGGGAGAACTTCTGTGCTTCCCTGTGACCCCTAGGGCAGGGGCACAACAGAAGGGCACCACAAGTTCACATTCAAGGCTGCAGCAAGAAGGAGATGAACACAACAGCAGGCATAACTAGATAACCTCAAACTGAATAGATCTGCACCCAAATTTCAGTAGATGCTAAGGTTATAACTGCACCAAAGCTCTACACCGAAGGTCAGAGGTCAGTGCTATATAAAATGACAAAGGGTCGACACCCCTAAGTAGACAGGAGATTGCTCACAAAACAGTAGTGAATTTATTGGGATTAAATAGGCATCTGACACATATCCTACATAGCCTGCAGATGTTTGTTTTCTAAATCTGTACTCAGTAGCAGTTTCTGTAGTTATCTGATCATTTAGAATAATGAGAATAAAGTTAGCTTAGCTATGGGCGAAGTAAAGATAAGCCATTAAAACGTAGTTAGTTTGAAAATGAATAAGTTCACCCAAAATAGACGGTGTTGAAATTCCTGTCCAGAAGTCCTCTCCAGGTGCCTATCAGTCCTGGTCTGGGGTGACAAGCAGTTGATGGTCATGGACATGGTCAAAGCCTTTTCTCTGAAAGGTCGAAGTTATTTCCACAGTCACTGCATTTCAAACACAGCAGGGTTTCTATGATACTGGAAGCTGTACACATATGTTATGTAAATAACATGAAACTGTATATTTTTCAAAAGTTTATAAACCTTTGGAGACTCTTTTGTTAAGATGTTAAAGAAATAAAAGTGCTGGAAAAACACTTGGACCATCAAAACAAAAAAAAAATGACAAAAGGAAGG